CAGAATTTGGAACGTTTTCTGCAAATTTCTGATGACCCTACAGTCACAGAGGCAATCTAAAAACAAATCAGCCAACCCTACTTTGCAGCTAGAGATCACTTTTATCCAATATGCCAAGGCACTGAATGAGGAGGTATTTCAAATTTACTTTACAGACCCGAGTGTAAACTTCTGAGGTGAGATTCTCTCTCTGTAGGTCTACCATTCCTTTATTGTTCACAAAACCCAAGGCAGCACTACTCCAAAATATATATAAAAAAATAAAAATAGGAAAACCAAAGCACAGAAGTTGAAGCAATTTGCTCAAAGCTGATTTTATTTCTATTTCTGCTTTTTGCAAATTTAGGTTTCTTTCCTTTGTCCAATTCTCAGATGGCTAGCCCATACTGCCTCCAGGAAGGGACTAAGTGGTTTACATAGTCATAGCAATCTATCCTACCACTTTCATTTTGCATAGTTTCCCTAGTGGAAATTCCTCCTATTAACCCTTCATAGAATCCCTACTTCAGGAAATCCTCATCAAATGTTATCAGACTGGACCACAGCATTAAGACTCATTACTGACTGAATCTATATCACTTTATGCTGTTCTCTCTTCAGCCCTCTCTCACATAACCCACCTAGAAGACCCCAAAGTGGATAATCAAATGACAGCTTCAGCTCCACAGGAAGTGAGATTAAAGGATTTGTTGCTGCTATGGCAACAGCCAAGTTCTACAGTTCTTAAAATAGTTTTGAAATCTTAGCAGATAATTGGGAGTTGATCTATGACTCACCTACAGGATTCAGTATCAGGTACCCAGAGCCTTGACACTCACGTTATAAAAGGAAACCCTATTTTAAAACTATAACACTTTCTTTTTAACGTGTATTTTCATCCTGCACTTAGAACTCCCTTGTTAATTGAAGCTGAGAATAGAAACAGCAGTGGGATCCTTAATTATAGTGCTCTGGTCACAGCTCTGTAAATAATATTTGATGGGAGTTGCTTCATATTTTATATTGAGACAGGAGTTCTGTCCTCCACATGGTGCCTGTTTCATGCCCTGTGTTGAGACCAAGTCCCCTTTGCTGAAACTTAATGTGACATTAAGGTAGTGAACAAATAATCAAATATGTAGATACAACAATGTCCAGACACCGCCATCTTTTTAAAACCTCACATTAGCATCCATGGGTGTTTTGCTGTGAAGGGAGGGTGCAGTCTTAAATGTATATCCTGGTGCACTGATCATAATTAAAACATTGAATTAGGCCCTATCTGCCAAATAAGTTTGATATCTCTGCTGCAGTGGGCCCTAGAGCTTTGGAGATAAAACCGGCTACTAACTCAGGGAGTTAGGACACTTCTCTTTGGGGCAGATTATTCCAGGATAGAGCTGTTTGCAATATCCTCTGCTGCATCTGGCACTGACTAGAAGGATCATTGGTCTTATGTTGTATAAACCAATTACACTGGAGGAGAAACAGAATTCAGCTTGTGTGCTCTTCTGAGGTATGTTTACTTAGGTGTTCAGCCATCATACCAATGAGCATGTACCAGGCTTAGTTGTTCCCTAGTGCAAACTGGATTAAAGGGGTAAATATCTGAGTTGCTGACATTTGGATTCTTCTAACAAGGAGAAGTTCCACTGAATAAAGATGTTGCCCTTTTCACCTAGTTTACTGACTAAAACTGCACTTAAAAACCAACAAGAGAACACTAAATTATTTAATAAGGTCACCCAAAGACAAATTAAAAACACTACCCAAATGTAAATGCAGTTTTAAAAATAGTAAAGTTCTGACTTGATGTAACCTCACTAAAGTCTAGTATGTATTTATTATAGTACGCCCAGTACACTCAGTACTTTGCACACAATGAAGAGAGATTGTCCCCTGCTCCGAGTTCAGGAGTCACTGCCAAGCTAAGAGCAGATCCGAATTTGATCTTAAAATTTACCAATGAATTCTGTCACCTCTGTGGCCTCAGTTGCAATTTCCAGGTCATTAAGAATCTAGCAAAGTCTCCATTGCAGGCAGAGCAGCCCTTTCCATGGTAATGAAGGTATGACAAGATCTCAAACAACATGAGATACTCTGAGCTGATAACATAGGCCAGGTGATTAGAGAGGAAGGGAGTGAGAAAAATCCACTCCCTTACATGGAGTGTCAAGTTGTTAGCATTTTATTTTGCAAGTCCTGAGATTTTAGAATGGCATAAGCGAGTATTCTTAATTCTGTATTTAAAAAGGATACACATTTCAGCAAGACAATACTTCTTAGAGAGGCCCTGCAGCCTGAATTAAGTCCCAAGTCTTCATTCTAGAGAAGGTGCTGCCACTCTGAGCACTTACCTGTAAGGCTGTGAATTTTTCACAGACATCATGGAGACTGTGACTTTTCAGGACCTCCACGACTTCTTGCAGCAGCTGGTCTAAGGGCTGCCTAAATAGCACAGGCAGCATACTGGCTGCTGCTGGGGCAGCCTCAAACTACTGTGCTCCCTCTAAGCTGCGAGGCAGCACAGATGTTCAAACTACTGTGCTCCCTCTAAGCTGCATGGCAGCACAGATGATTAATCAGTCCCCCCTAGTCAGAGGCTCAGGGCTCCATGCAGGGAGTTGAATGGCTGGGCGGGGCTGATTAATCACCTGTAAAGTTGTGCTGCCTGCAGCTTAGAGGGAGCACTGCTCCCATCCCACCCCCCAGCAGCACTAGTTTTGGTGTGGAAAGGGGCAGAGGGCTGGAGTGCAGGAGGGGGTGAGGGCTCTGGGCAGTGCTTACCTCAAGGGGCTCCCTCAAGTGATGACATCCCCTTCCTTCAGTTCCAAGGCACAGCCAGGCAGTTTCATATGCTGCCACTGCACCTCCCATTGGCCACAGTTCCCCGTCAATGGGAGCTGTGGAACCCCCTTGCCACTTTTCCAGCCACGAGCTGAGGCTGGAGCCTCATGAAACCAGGTAGAGTCTGTCAGTGCTCTCACCCCCACTACCCGCCTCCTCCCCTCATGCCAAATCAAGAGTATATAGCACAAGCCATGGACAGGTCACTGGTGATTAATTTTTCTTCACTTTTACTAAAAATATCCATGACTAAAACATTCTTACATGCAGCCATGAAGAATCCCAGATCTTAAAACTGGGACATTCTTTAACACATCTGTAAAATGTTATTAGCTCTAATTTCTTCCTCTAAGGTCTTATGTGGTTGGCTTAATAGCTTTATAGACAGAAGCATTAAAAAAAAACAGTACTATTTTTGTAACAGAACATTTCTTATATGTTAAACAGAATGGAAAATTTCTTACCAATAATTTCCTTTGTGCAGGCCAGCGTCTCTTACAGTTCTGAACATCTGAGAAATAGGAAAGCAATGAATGGACATGGGGAGAATTATGAAACCAAAGCTATATGTGAAAGTATCCCTCCGTTTGGTGAACTTGCTCAAAAGTTTGTATTTATTTCTGCACCACCACCTGCAGCACCTTCAGGCCAAAGAAGCCTCTAGTGAAGATCCACCACATAGTGCTTGGTTAACAAAGGTGTTTGTTATAGACCAGGGGTCTCCTATTCAATTTACCTTAGAGCCAGTGCCAGTCCTCACATCCTCCTAGTGGGCAGGGCTTTGGCATGGTTCCAGGGTGGAGGGGGAAGTGGTGGGGTTGGTAGGGGAAATGTCTCTCCCCTCCCCTGCATCTCCCAGCTCTGCCTGCCAGCCCGTGCAATTTCCTCTGTGCCTCTGCCAGCCCTGTGGCAGCCACACAAATGTCCTATGGACAATATGGTCCCCCATACCCAGGGGAACCAACTGCAGGGGTTGTCCTCCCCTCCCCCCACTCACTGCAGCAGCAGGAGCTGCGGGGAATTGGAGCTACATGGAAGCCCAATCGACTCCGTGGCCATCTTCCAAGCCAGCCTGCACTGGGGCTGGGTGCTCTTCCTGCTGCTATGGTGGAATGACTGGACATTGCTCTGCTTCCCTGCAGCCATGGTTCGTCCAGGGGAGCCCTTGCTGCCACTCCATACTAGACCCCCTAACGGGGATGGGGCTTCAAGGAATGGATGTAGTGGGGCCAGAGGGCAGAGAAGGGTGGGAAGAGATGGGGCAGAGCAGAGGCTGGACTTGGGGGATGGGTATGGACCCTGCCCCCCCCCACCCCCATGGCTGCAGGAACTCACATGCCAACAATCATGTACAGGCCAGATTATGGAACTGCTCGGGCCACAGATGGCCTGCAGGCCTTGACTTTGAGACTCCTGCTGTAGGCCAAGTGGCTGCTGTGAGAATTCCAATGAAACCCATGCCAACAAACAATCTACAGAACAGCTATATTTGGGAAAAAAAAGTCTTAAGCTGCTGGTGGTCAATACAACAACACAGCTAAATTCAATCATCAAATATTTGCTGAGTTCTGTTCTTAATTTGTTCTATATTAATCTACATTCTCTATTTTGAGAGAAACAGGACAAATCTCATTAAAGGAAACCTCTGTTTCCATACAACAATGGCTAAATTGACTTACATTTGCACCACTCAAATTTATTTATAGGAATAAAACTGAAATGTTTGAGGAGTGTAAGATTTTTTTCCCCACTCTTCCAGCTGTGAAATTAGTAATCAGTGTTGCACATTTAGATGCTATTTGTGAGGTGGTTTCTTTCTGAGTGACCTACATAAAATGTTTCTCAGCTACGATTATTTTTGCCACATCAAACATCCTGAATTTCAATATTATTTTATATAGCTTATTGCATGCCTTAATTATGTCTCATGGGGGTTCCTATAATTGGTTTTGACAATTTATCTAAATTAATGTGAAAGCAAGCTTTAAAATGTGCTTCAATAGAAATCTAGTTTGAAGACATTATTCCTGTGGGAAACGAGAGGCTTTTAAAACACCTCTTTAAGACAAAATTCTTGTTCTTTAAATACTGAAGCTAAAAACTGCAGTATTTAAGCCTCCAAAACAAGTTTAATGTTTTATATAATCATATTGAAATCATGACAATCAGCAAAGTTAGGATCCATGCAGTCTTTATTTTAATGATTAGACAAATAAAGGAAAATTTGCAATAATCTATCAAAACTGTATCTTATAAAGAATTGGAAAGGTGTTTAAAAAACTTATTCACATTCAAATCAGATTATGTACAAACCAGTGTCTGTAAAAAAAGAAAATAGCAAATGCTTGAGTGTAAAATAATCCAATTCTAGTTCATATTCCAGTATTCCCAATGACCAAACTTAAAATGTAAAACAAGGTATTACCATAACAAAGACATGTTCCACAATCTTCCTTATACTGACCTCAACAGCATGTGTCAAAACACCTCCCCCCCCCCACTTTTTTGAGAAGTTTCCTAACACTGCATCATCTGTCCTGAAATTCCTCTCAAATGTACTTTAGGATAATTCTCCCTCACTATGGTAAGGTCAGAGCAATTGCCATGTACAGTACCAGAGAGTCTAAATAAATGCATGGTTTGCTTTTTACCTCAAGGAGTTAGCCATTTTCAGCAGAGTGCAGCCCTTGAATATTTGGCTTAAAATCAGGATTTGCTCCTAAGACAATCTGAACATGGTGCTCTACACAAGCGACTATACCTCCAAACTCACCCCACATTGGTTACATCTGAATGCAGATAACTACCATCAGAAGGAGCTTCCAGTTATTTATGGTAGCAGCATTCAAGATAGCCATGTAAGTAATTCCCTATTTACAAAAATCTGTTATAAGTGTCTGTTCTGGACTAAATACAAGAACGAGGAAGAAAACATGGTATACATTTAAGCAGATATTTTAAGCACTCCTACAAGTTGATGTTCTAGTTTATGAAATTTTGCAGACGAGTAGCCATTAAGAGAGACTAATTACTTATGAAAGTTTGAAAGGTAGCGAAGCTATCAACAATGACAGAAATTTTGTCTTAAAGCCACAACAATTACTGGTTAACCAAATGTGATAGACATGTTTGGAACACAGAAGAGAAAGACCCACATCTACTGGGATAGCAATAAAAATTAAATCATCAATAGTGTATTAATATAGGAATCAATAATTCCCCCAAAGAGCTATAAAATACATCAGAAATCTCTGATTATACCAAGTAGACCAGATGGAAATAATCCTATATCATAAATTAGATTTCTATTTTTCTGGAAGGCTAGTAGAGAAATTATGAACAATGCTTGTGCATTAAACTCCCAAATTCCAGGAAATGCAGAATGAACACTGTTCTTATGTAACCCTTCTAAACCACATATTGAAGTGGTCTAGCACCACAAAGATCATATTCGGCATGTGTTACCGTATTTCAGTGCAAAAGAGCAAATCCAGAAAAGAGTTTCAATCTTATGTTTGCATCTACTGGTTTTAGCAAGTGTACTCAAGGCTCAATGTTATCATAGGTGTATAATCTCCACCACAACCTTCTGTAACAGGGCTAGAAATTAAAACTCCAGGATGGCAGTGGAAGACTGGCAATTTAAACGTTTTGAAGATTTGAACTGTTCAAGGACCAAATCCAGTGTCCACTGAAGTAAATGAAAAGGCTCCTATTTATTTCAACAGGCTTTGGATCAGCCGTTTAGGGGATCAGAATTCCGGCAGTGACTATTTCAAACAAAAGATGACCACTGCATTTTACAAATAACTTTTAACTGAGACTTTGCTCAGATGTACAAACAAAGGATAGTGGTACCAACTTTTGGCGATCTTTTCTCTATAAAGCACAAGCAATAATTAGAATTCCCAACCAAAAACACAGCTGCAATTCTCAGAGATTAATGCTGATGCAAGGATCAAGTAGTAACAGGAAAGAATGCTCTAACAGCAGAAAACTTCGTATTAAAAAAAACATTTTAAATGACATTCCACTCACGTAATATCTGGGACAGTGAACAAGTCTTTACAATTACACAGGCAGTTCTGACCTAGACAGCCAGAATGAAGTACCAAGACATGCTTGTTTTATTAATGCTATCCATAACGAATCCAAGAGGAAATGCAGCCACAACCAAGAATGCAGGTACTTTCAGGTGAGTAGAGTGGATGCAAATTATTTGATGTAACTGCCCTGATTTCCAGATGGCAACATTCTGTGGCTAGTAAGTCACACTGGGCAATACACAGCAGTTACCAAAATCATAAAAAGTTGAGGAAGTTAAAGTCTTTGTGGTATAAAACACAAATGCAAAGCCTTCACATATTACCCACTAATCAAAAACCAACTTAAGAATAAGCATGAAGTCTCAGTCCTATTACTAACTCCATGTTTACTGAAGTTGATCTCTTTCTGGAAAAGAAAAAAGGTTGCTTCAGATCACCATTTACACTAGTTTTGTCCATTAGGTATCTTGTTAAATATTAAATTAACATAAGCTGCAATGCCATCAACAGCCAAACCTTTCCATTCTATGCTTCACTGAGCTCTGCTGCACCAAAACCAGGCTTTTTTGCTTGCACAGAATGTTTTTCTCCAATCGTGTCCTTCCCAAAATGTTCCATTCTATAAAACGTCCATGAAACATAATGGTAGATTTAAATAAAGAATAAAACAAATTAAGGTGGGGTTACTAAGCTTAGTATAAATTTTTCTCCAGACACCTATTATCTATATTTCATCACACCCGATTATAATGGTGAAAAAAAGAACAATACTTTTTATTCCCAGGAAACACTAAATGACAACTTATTTGGCTAATGAATATCATTTATCAATGCACTACATAAAATAAATCACTCAGCTGTAGGTGTCAAGTTGCAATAAGCATGAGAAGCTAATACTAAAGCTTAATAGAGAAGTTAACAATGTTACATAGGAAAAACACTGCCCCTCATTTTAATTTGCTATAGTCCAGATCCTTTCAACTACATGTTTCCGGAGAGACATGCTTAATGGAAACAAGAATGCTACTAAAAATATCCCTCCATTTCTCTACACCTGGCAATATAAGGCTAAATTCCTGGTATGCTTGGGAGATGCTGCTGCAAATGTCTGTTACATATACCCAAAGACTCTGTGTGGGAGAACGGGAACTTAGAGCAATGCAGTCCAGTGTGGCAAATTGCCATCTAAAAGTGAGGTTTAAATTGATGTTATTCTAGCAAAGATTAGCAAGATGACAAAATAAATCCAGAAACTGTCATGTCATTTTAATAAAGAATTTTTTTGAGCATTAGTCCTCCAACCTTTTACAAGGATGCATGTTAGGGCCTCATGATTGACTTGTTCCAAACTATTCAGTCCAAGTCTTGGTAGCTATATGAGAAATGAGCAGTGGTAGTACAGTATGCACTCTCTGTGCTTGAGAATGCAAAGAGTAAATTAGAGTACAGGATCTTGATCCAATGTGAAAATAAGCTTTTAGACTTATCAAAAATCAAGCACACTTAGGCACAGAGGCTATTAAGGGATGGAACTCTCTTTAGGAGAGACTATCCTTTCTCCATCGGTCCCATTGCTATAATACCTGGCCCTTACCTAATGACCCAAAGTGAGGTCAGGACTCAACTGGTGAAAAACATTGCTTTAATGATTTGTACTGGATTGATTCCCTTCAAATGGTTTTCAAGTCAAATCAGACAGAACTTTGCTACCTTCCTTTCTTTAAACTCATGGCAGTCCTCAGGGCCTTCAGTGTTGGGAAAACATCAACCTGTACCGAGGGCTCATGTTGCTGGTAGAAACATTAGCAACTTTGACACAGATGGTCCTCATTACACGTCTATCATTCAGAAATTGCTTATGACATAATGGTAGTCCATCCTTTGAGAAAAACCCTTTTTACATAGAATACCCAGTGCGGTAGTCTCAGGAAAACATGGGAGGAAGTTGCAATGATTCAGGCCAGAAATCTTGAGTATACTGAACTTCACAGTCACGTGAGGACCAAGGAAAAAATCCTTTTTTCCCTCCCAGATTTTCTAGAGTCATTATAAATGTCCATAGAATATCAACTTCAAATGCGTTATATATAAAACTGATGAAATGCTAGCTGGTCCATAAAGGGCTGCACTAAGTTATCTGTGGCAAAGTAGAAAACGAGCCCAAAGGTTATGGAGATTGGAAGAGCTGGTAATGCCTTCTTAAAGATGGCAAGAAGCAGTAGAGTAAGGCACAGACCCTGGAAAGAAGGAAAGGGAGAAGTTAAGGTAAAACTCAAGCCAGCAAAAATACAATACATATTATAAGCACATACATATCATATTTACAAAAAATACATATAGAACATATCAAGCTTAAAAGCTGACAAAAGAGTTGATAGTTGCATTTTTTTCCTTTCCAAAATGAGTGCTATTAATGTCAGGATTAACACTGATAAAGTAACTCACTAATGAGTCCACTAATGGGTAGGAATGTTTGTCAGAGGCTGGAAATGGATGACAACAGAGGGATCATTTGATGATTCCCTGTTCTGTTTATTCCCTGTGGGGCATCTGGCATTGGCCACTGTCAGAAGACAGGATACTGGGCTAGATGGACCTTTGGTCTGACCCAGTATAGCTGTTCTTATGTTCACTCAAAGCACTGAAACATATACGTAAGGGCCCACTGAAATCAATGAGACATAAACATGCACTTAAGTACTATACCGAACTGAAGCTTAAGTGACAGATGCTGCCCCCAATTGAAATCCATAACAAAACTGGTAATTTAAGTGGATGACGGCAAGATCGGACACTTAAGTAACCAATATGCAAAATCCCAAAGGAAAATATACAAACAGAAGCCCCCTTGGTCACCGAGGAACGTACTGAAATACCACCACTACATTACATTATACTTACAATTAGTATGGCTACAAAACAGGCTAACGTTGTGTTCCAGTCTCCACTTGCTGTGGCTGAGGCCTTGCCAACCAGAACGCTGTAGAAAATGAAATCTCCCAAACCAAGTTTTACTCCCCCTGCAATGGTAAAAATAAGGAAAGATTAGGTGAAGACCCAAAACTCCTTCCACCAATTTCTGTTACACGTATCTGACAGAATAATTCAAGGAACCAATAAGACAACCAAAAGCAATTAGCAGATTCTCCTTGACCCTCCCTACTGCCAAGCTGTTGCAGTCTCCAATACACATGAATTTGCCGTTTGCCAGCACATCCCATTCTACTAAGTTATAAACAGACTAACATCAAATCAAACATAAGAAAAAATGTTTATACACAACTCCATTTTGAATTAAGTTTAGCAAATAATCAAAACAGGAGGGGAGGCTGGGAATCAACGAGAAGCACAATTTTACAGAGGCTGTTTTAAAGCAACAAGGAAAGAGGAACTTATCTGCATGACTATCTCTATCAGAATACTCAAAAACGGAATGTTCTGGGAAAGAGGAGATAGCCAAAATGCCATCCACAGAATTCTACAATGTAGCCTGTATCTGATTTCACCTTTCATACAGAGGTAAGGCTAGCAAAAACTGCAGGTCCCAACAGAGTATGTCATTTTGATACCAGCAGGGGTTATATCTAGTATCTCTGGAGTAAAAAGGAAGACTGATGCCATTTGCTCCACTTTATGTACAGTTGAGAAGGTTTTCAGTCTCGTAATAGCTAGCCAGCATGACTCTGAACTGAGAAAGTCTGGATGTTCCGGTTATATTTTTTTTATAGAGCTAAGCCACTTTCATTTATTTCATTTTACAGCAACCTTTTGCCAAAAGATTATTGCTACTACCCTGACTACTGGGGCAGATAAGTCACTTGTTATTTTGCAGTTTTTACTTACATATCTTCCAGTGAACAAAACAACATACAGAAACATTCCAGTGACCTCTTCTGTCTCCTACAGAATACTTATGATAGTTTTGAAAGGCTCGTGGTGTAATTATGGTGCATCTTTCCGATTAAATGAATGCTTGTGATTCTGCAATATAAGGATCCTTCAAAAGTGCATGAGTTCGATTTTATGGCAATTACCACCTCAGCAAGTACTTCTGGGACACAATATTCAATTAACACTTCTGTATACAGAAGTAAATATGATTTCCTGTACTAAATAAGGCTCAAAATGTGCCATAGCTTTTTCAAAGCCTCTACATCAAGGCCATCACACACCTGTCTGGAGGGCCAGATCAAGCCGTTGGATGTGCTCATCTAGCCTGCAGCTTCCTTCATCTTATCAGTGCAATGCAGCTCCAGGCTCGACCTGCAAGTATCAAGGAATAACTAGAGACCAAGTGGGTACCTGCTAAAGAGGAAAAGCCAAAGAGTGAACTTATGCCTGACTGGCCATATGCAAGGAAGCTCCAGACCCCTTCACCTCACCATTCCTTCTCGTGCTATGGCAGCTGCCTCTCTTCCTTCTGCCATAAGCCCCTGACTGCTTCTAAGCTCTCCTTGTCCCTCAAATTTACCTGTTCATCCTGCCCTAGAGGTAAGGGCCCCAGAGCTCTGCTACCCCGGATGAGAAAAAGACCGTTTTCTGCACTGGGGGAGGGAAACCTAGGGCTCTTCTTACCCCGCTTCTCTCTTCTCCCATCTTTGTCCCCTTCTTCCCTCTCCATATTTTTCCCTCAGGGTCACATGATTGCCATCAAGCCCTGCAACACCAGGTTTATGGGAGGAGTTGTCCTGTTTTCACCATGTTTTTCTTGCCACTGATGTCTACTCCAACCATTTCAGCCTTATGTTACTTTTCAGACAAGGGAAAGTCAGAATTAACTTAGCTAAACAGACACTCTACAGCCATGGGAGACTGGAAAATATGCTCCTCACCTAGTAAGTTTTGTTTCTTTGATCCACAGACCCCAGGTTAAAGTATACCTTAGCCCTCACTTGAGAATTAGTTTGACATTCCAACACTGTTATAATTATTGGGTTTTTCTAGAGAGATCCTCAACAGCTCCCTTCTGAACTCAAAGTTAACCAGTGGAGGCTGGAGCATCCCCTGTCCGTGGTGGGCCGAGCCCAGTGCAGCGCACTGCAAGCAGCAGCACTCCAGCCCACCCCTGTTTAACCAGTTAAACATAATGATTAACTGGTTAACTAATTAAATGGGATTTCACATCCCTAAACTACATTTAAAAATTAGATCATCTTAGCGATGTTGCTCAGGGCTGTGAAAAAGTCTGCATCCTGTCTAATATAGTTAGGAAGAATGAAAAAACAATGAATAGTCTAGTAGCACCTTAAAGACTAACAAAACATGTAGATGGCATCATGAGCTTTTGAGGGCACAACCCACTTCTTCAGATGACTGGAGTATTAGAAGTCCAGACCCAAGAATAGATAAGGGAAGGGGGGGGGGGGAGGGGGAGAGCACAAAAGAAGGGGGAAAAAAAGAAAAGGAAAAAAAAAGAGATAGTGAGTAGATTGTTCATGTAGTTACAAGAGGCTGATAAGAACAATTAACGCTTCCATTGTTTGGTTGATTGGTTAAGTCATTAGGATGTGGAAGGTAGCATGCAAGAATGTCTCGGTTCATTCCATTCGCATAAGAATTAAAGTTGTGAATGAAGTTAAGTTCCAACCCTTCCCTGTGTATTTGGCTTGTGGAACTGGCCTGAAACAACAGGGTGGCTTGGAGACCCATTAATGAATGCCCAGGCAGGTTAAAGTGTTCTCCAACAGGTTTCTGTGTATTACCTTTATGGATATCAGATTTGTGTCCATTAATTTCTTTCCAGTAGAGACTGTCCAGTTTGACCACTACAGATGGAAGTGGGGCATTGCTTGCATTTGATGGCATAGATCACATTAGTGGATGTGCAGTTACAGACTAACCTGGCTTCCCCTCTGAAACTTTTGAACAATGTAGTAAGGACGACCTAACCCCTCATGTGTAACTGCAGCTAAGTTAACGTAGCCTCTACCTGGATAGATTGACCAGTGGATTATCTACACCGGTGATAAGCCACTAAGGCTAGTGAGTGGGCTGCATGAGTGGCCCTCCATTATTAGTGGGATGCAAGATTGACACAGAGCACATGCATTAACCATGACCCCACAAATAAGATTAAGTACATTGCACTTGATTCTCCTTTATCATGCCTTTTCAACACAAAGTGATGCATTATTAGGGGCGAGTTAAATTACTGGCAAAAGTAGCATAAAGCAGAGGGAGTGCATGGCTCTTACAATGTTTTGTGCAATCAGCATGCACCTCATGTGTGCCCTGTCAACTGTAGGACCAGTGTTAATGAAGCTAAGTCAGGGTGACTTAATAAGCTTCATTAATACTGGTCCTACAATTGACAGGGAACTTCTTTTGCTGTTTTGTATATCCCGGATTCTGTAGTTTCCACTCCAACTCATCTGATGAAGCAGGTTTTACCCACAAAAGCTCATGATCTAATAAATTTGTTAATCTGGTGCCGCAAGACTGCTTGTTATTACAGTTACAGACTAACAGTCCCATGGAGGACAGACTCCAGAAATCCTTTTTTTACTATCTCTTACACTTCTAAGGTGCTAACAACTCGAGAGAGAGAGAGAGAGAGAGACAGACAGACACACACACACACACACACACAACCACAAGGTTTATAGTAAATCAAGATTACTGGCCGAGGGAGGGAAGAAGAGATTAAAACAAAAGAAAAAGCATAAAATAGCTAGTCTTAAACCAGGCAAAGCCAATTTGCATCACTACAGGAAAACAGCAGTACCTTATACTTCTTATCTCCCTGCAATCCCTCAGTACCACCTCTCAAGTTACTCCGATTTGATCAGTGTTGTCTCCCCAAAGACTAAACCATTATGTGTTTCCAAAATTCATTCAGGATCATGTTCACTGCTTTGGACCAACTCTTTTTGTTCCTCTTTATCCTGTAAGAACTTTTACATTTTGGAGCTTTTTGAATGTGTACACACACAATAGTGTCTCCTGGCCCAACTCCAACATCTCATTCTCAAGTACCATTTCCCATACTTCTAAAGGCCAGACTTTCACATGTTGAGGTGCTAATCTAAACCTAGCTCAGTCTGCCTTTAAAGAGAGACAGGTTGTTATTTTTAGAAGTCACCCATCACATTATTCTACTCTAGTAGATATGAATCACTGTCAAATTAAGGCAGACCTGTCATCGAAGATACCAAGCTGGATGCGAAGTGAAACACTGCATGGCAAACACATTCCAATGCTACAAGGTTACCTGGCTCCAAGAGTATTAACATTTATTTTAACTTCTGGGGGCAAAGGTTCATTGTTAAAACTAAAAAATCATTTTGAAAACCAAGTTCTGAAGAACTAAAAAAACCAGAATTGCAGCCACTATTCAAAATTCAATTTCTCATCATAGTGGGAAGCTCTAATTTAATGGAAAATGAGGTATTTGAACATAAAAGCTTTATGCAGAGAGTTAGGACTAACAGTTGTCCTGATCTCAGTTCTAGATGGCTTTCAAGATGCAACTGTAGAAGGAAATTGATGCCTTACAGTTATTTATCACTGATTACAGTGATTAATAATCCATATTCCAGAGAAAAATGCTAAATTTTAAGGGAACCTTACTTGATGTATCCAGTACAGAATTTGTTCACTTACCTTTATTAGCTAAGTGATATTAAAAAAATACCTGTATAACATCCCTACTCAATCTTAAAAACGCAAAACTAGTGGCTTGCAGTAAGACTATCACTGCTTGCTCTGCACAGTGATCCCTGGATGCTAAAACAATTCTCCCTCAAGTCACATACAATTGTTGAACAGTAACTTGATGAAATGGGGCATGTTGAGAATGCTCTCTTGCCAAGAGAACGATTTTAAACATTAAAACACAGTTACACTGTATTAAAAAGGCTCAGTGATCAGTACAATGGCTATAATGCTACTGCCACAACACGTGAATTTTCCAACAGACATCTAACAAATAATTGCTGGCTGACAAGCATGATCAGCAGCATTGTAAAAATGCTATCAGAACTACTGATAGTAGAAATACAGGGAGAAAGACACATGCCTTGGAACAATTTAGCATTTTCTTTATTTAAAATACCCACAGAGGCAGGGAGAAAAAGACTCCCATCTCTAGGAGCTAACAATTATAAATTACAATCAAGTCAGGAAACCATAACTGTCTACCAACACAGCTGGTTTTATATTGGTAGTTAGAATAAATACATGTCACCCCACTCCGAAGATCTCTGTGCCCCTAAGTATCCTCCCAAATCTCTAGAAAAGACAGAGGATGTGAGTTCACTCTGAATGTCAAAGATCTCGGTTATCAAGTGCCTTCACTGATTACAGCTATGGCAGGAACACATGAGGAGAGATGTCTGCCAGACAGGCAGGCCTGAAAATGCTTAGTGCTCTACAGTCTAACACCACCTTAGATTTCACCTAGAAATGAAAAGCCTGCCTGTGCAGATCCCTGACTACTGAGGTTATGTGTTCACAGCGAGACACCACATTTAATACACTGTCTGTTACAGGGGAAAAAACCCCAAACCAAAACAAGCAAGCTACAACATCTTGAAGTAAACTTTGTTTTTAAATTATACTTAACATGTTGCTTTGCATAGAGAATGCTGCTATATTCTAATTTTGAGGTGACAAAGGCATGGATTGCAGTCACAAAGTCTGCACTGACATAAGTGACAATCTCTGACCATAAGCAGAATGCATCAGAGGGTACCAAGGAAGTGGCAAATGTCATTGAGGAGCCCTTGGCCATTATCTTTGAAAAGTTGTGGAGATCGGGAGAGATCCCGGGATGATTGGAAAAAGGCAAATGTAGTGCCCATCTTCAAAAAAGGGAAGACGGACGATCCAGGGAACTATAGGCCAGTCAGTCTTACCTCGGTTCCTGGAAAAATCATGGAAGGGATCCTTAAGGAATCCATTTTGAGGCACTTAGAAGAGAGGAAAGTGATTAGGAATAGTCAGCATGGATTCACAAAGGGCAAGTCATGCCTGACCAATCCGATTAGCTTCTATTATGAGGTTACTGACTCTGTGGACATGGAAAAGTCAGTGGATGTGATATACCTTGACTTTAGCAAGGCTTTTGATACAGTCTTCCATAATATTCTTGCCAGCAAGTTAAGGGAATGTGGATTGGATAAATGGACGGTAGGATGGATAGAAAGCTGGCTAGAAGGCCGGGCCCAGCGTGTAGTGATCAACGGCTCGATGTCAGGATGGCGGTCGGTTTCTAGCGGAGTGCCCCGAGGTTCGGTTCTAGGACTGGTTTTGTTCAATATCTTTATTAATGACCTGGATGAGGGGATGGATTGTACTCTCAGCAAGTTTGCGGATGACACTAAGCTAGGGGGAGAGGTAGATACGCTTGAGGGCAGAGATAGGGTCCAGAGTGACTTAGACAAATTGGAGGATTGGGCCACAAGAAATCTGATGAGGTTCAACAAGGACAAGTGCAGACTCCTGCACTTGGGACAGAAGAATCCCAAGAATTGTTACAGGCTGGGGACCAACCAGCTAAGTAATAGTTCTGCAGAAAAGGACCTGGGGGTTACAGTGGATGAGGAGCTGGATATGAGTCAACAGTGTGCCCTTGTAGCCAAGAAGGCTAATGGCATATTAGGTTGTACTAAGAGGAGCATTGCCAGCAGATCCAGAGATGTCATTATTCCCCTTTATTCGGCTCTGGTGAGGCCACAGCTGGAGTATTGTGTCCAGTTCTGGGCCACCCACTACAAAAAGGATGTGGATGCATTGGAGAGGGTCCAGCGGAGGGCAACCAAAATGATTATGGGGCTGGAGCATATGACCTATGAGGAGCGGCTGATGGAATTGGGTCTGTTTAGTCTGGAAAAGCGAAGAGTGAGGGAGGATTTGATAGCAGCCTTCAACTTCCTGAAGGGAGCTTCCAAGGAGGATGGAGAAAGGCTGTTCTCAGTGGTGACAGATGGCAGAACAAGGAGCAATGGTCTCAAGTTGCGGTGGGAGAGGTCCAGGTTGGATATTTCACTAGGAGAGTGGTGAAGCACTGGAATGGGTTAACTAGGGAAGTAGTGGAGTCTCCATCCCTAGAGGTGTTGAAGTCTCGGCTTGACAAAGCTCTGACTGGGTTGATTTAGTTGGGATTGGTCCTGCCTAGAGCAGGGGCTGGACTTGATGACCTTCTGAGGTCTTTTCCAGCTCTAAGATTCTATTCTATGATTCTAAGCAGATGGCAGAAAGTCATTCAGGTAAGTACTGCTACATGATTATTTAAGCAGACTAGGAGCTAACAGAGTTCCCAAATTGTGAGTTGTGTGATTAAGAGCATCTCCAGCAAAAATGATTAGATAACTAAATGGAGATCTATCCAGTCCTGTGAAGTCTTCAGGTGGGTCAACATGTCCTAATCATTGGGGATTTTTCAGCCTGTCCTTGCGATCCAGTGTACTTTGTAAATAACATATGCATGAATAATCACATTAGCTGACTAAAAACCAAATTTACATTTAGTCCGTCTTGGAAAGATACTTACTCTCTTCAGGGTCCTCACTATCTTGGGAGTTACTAGGAAGAGCCTGAACAACAGCCCGGGATTCAGGAGTTGAGTCAAGGGGTCCTATTCTGTTATCCCTTTGTTGTTCCCATTCCTGATTGAAGCCTCCATCATCGGTGTCAGCATCTTCATTCTGAGTCTGATTCTCTGCAGCTCAAGGAAAGAAAACAATAATATAAAACTTATTTCAAAAGCATCTTTCATACATATGTAGGATGGCCATATTTCTCTATGCTGAATACAGGACACCTGGTAAAATTACTCATATTGAAGCGAGTTCAATGGCAATCAGAACTATGCAGTAGAAATGTTCAAATTAACATCAAGTTGACTGAGCCCCTCATAAAAAGAAATACTAAGTAGCTGATGTCTTTTTTTTTTTTACCATCTTATCTTTTAAGTGGGGCTGTCAAGCAATTAAAAAATTAATCACAATTAATCATGTGCACTGCCTCTCTGAAATGCTGCATTGGCGTTTCAAAGGGGCAGTGCTGTGGGAGCCAGGGATCAGCTGGAGTCCCCAGCTGATCCCAGGATATGCTGCGCTGCCCTTTTGAAACACAGTGGCAGCATTTCAAAGGGATAGTGCTGCCCGGGGTCCGCTGGGAACTCCAGCTGATCCCAGGCTCCTACTGAGCTGCCCCTTTGAAACGTACTGTGGAACTCCTTGCCAAAGGATGTGGTAAAGACTAGAACTTTAACAGGGTTCCAAAAAGAGCTAGATAGATTCGTGGAGGTTAAGTCCATCAATGGCTATTAGCCAGGATGGGTAGGAATGGTGTCCCTGGCCTCTGTCTGGAAATGGATGACAGGGGAGGGATCACGTGAGGATTACCTGTTGTATTCCCTCCCTCTGGGCATCTGCCATTGGCCACTGTTCGCAGACAGGATATTGGGCTAGATGGACCTTTGGTCTGACCCAGTATGACCATTTTTATGTTCTTATGTCTGGCTGGGCCCCTGGGACGGGCCCATCTCACCTGATACCTGGTGCAACATCTTCTCAAAACAACATATGGGGGCACACAGGGTCACAGGCTCCCCTGGATTTCTGTAAGGTTTCACATTAGAATGTGGCCAGCAGCAGCCTTTAAGCACTATGTGGGAGGGAAGAGATGAGAGCTGCTTCCAGGTGAATGGGGGTGAAGGTGGAAGAAAGCAGGGATAACCTGTTCCCAGAGACCATCTCTTCCTTCCCATATCCCCATGGCTAGAAGCACCTTGTCTCTTCCTGCCCACAAAGTGTAGAAAGGCAGCTAACACTTCCAGGATGCTGCTGGCCACCACCATAACCCAGCCATCTCCTCTTCCCTGGTTACAGTATAGGTAGGAAGGGGTTAAGCCCTTAGGATGCATTGAGCACTAGGTCCCAGGAAACCAGGCTGTAGAGGCTTTAGTGAACCTGGCCAGAGAGGTGGCTCAACAGAGGTGTGCACCTAGAGGATGGGGTGAGGGACAGCATGTGAAGAGGGAATGTAGCAGGGAGGTCACCCAGATCCAAAATACAAAAAAGTTAAAATAGCCCTGGGAGAGGGCTGTGGCTAAGAGCCAATCAAGAGTGGGCTTGTGGTAGCCAATCAGAGCCCAGAAGGGCTGTATAAAAGAGATGGCTGCCTAAGCTGGGGACACATGCTCCAGCTCTGGAGGGAGAAGGACCTAGCTGCTTGTTAGAATAGATACTATGGACAGAGCAGCACTGGGGAAAGTCCAGATGAGCAGGGATGCTCCAGCCTGAACGATCCCAGGCCAAGGCCCAGCAACAGGAGTCTGAGGAGTACTTGGGTTGCAGGGAGGCAGCCAGGGCAAGAGAAAGAAGAAGGTCCACATGCCTTTGCCTATGATGAGTGGCCCTTTCAGACTGCAGTTTGCCCCTGAGGTAAGAGGCTAGATGACTACTTATCAGTCAGGTCACTGAGGCAAGGTGGTTATAGGGAGTTGGGAGGACCCCAGAGTGTGGGGGGCATTGCAGCAGAGCAGTATCCTGAGGGAAGGGTGCCACACACTGGCGAGGGACATGGGTCCTAATGTAAGGTGATGAAGCCATTAACAAGTAGGTAACAGCAGTGCAACACTGGTCAGAAGGGGGCGCTCAGGAAAGAGCTGAGCTAATTCCCAAGTGACCAGCAGGAGACAGCAGCAGTGAGTCGCACCTTATTACAGGGTGCTAAGCGCCCTGCTCAGGGACCTGCAGAGTTAGGGCACAAACAGGCTAGAAATAGCTTCCTTCCTGCCACTCCACACTTTAGCTGGCTTCCCCATGCCAGCACTAGTGAGGGCTTTGGCACATGCAGAGCTTTGTTCCTTCTGGCCAACATCCTGGGCCAGAGGCTCTTGAGCTTTCCACAGATGCCAGCCCAGGCAGGGGTAATGCAGGGAGGAAGGAGCCTGCCAGCCAGGCTTTTGATGAGCTGAAGGATCCAACCTGGGGCTGGTTTCGCACACAACACCAAGAGTGGGATGCATGTTGAGGGGCTGGGGATGGCATATGGAGGAACAGCGGGGCTGGAGAGGGATGAACGGGCACAGCAGGGAGAGGACTATGAAATGGGGAGAACAAGCTGGCTCACAGCAGGGACTTCACTGATGGACCAACGGGGGGAGTGTTTGGCCTCACATGCTGCAGCTTTGCCCAACCAGCAGCCTTACGCACTCACCCCCATCGTCAGCCATTGGACGCTCCTGACTGACTGATGGTGGATAGGCAGCTGTGAGCAAGGATTCGGCCAGCAGTAGGACTCACCAATACTGATGGGAGGGAAGAGACAGAAAAAAATGGACAATTGTCCCATTTGTTCTAAAAAAAATAGGGTCAGCTGCAGGAGGGTTTAAATACAGAATGGCCCCTTTAAAAATGGGACATCTGGTTACCATAAACGTATGACACTCTAGTTAATACAGTAAGACATGAAAGGTAACTGTCCCCCTGTAGCCAGCCCCTGTGAGACCTCAGCTGGAGTACTATGTCCAAGTTTAGGTGCCACATTTTAGGAAAGATGTGGACAAATTAGAGAGAGTCCAGAAGAGAGCAGCAAAAATGAAAAAAAAAAGTTTAGAAAAACTGATCTATGAAGAAAGGTTGAAATGAATTGGGTATGTTTAGTCCAGAGAAAAGGAGACTGAGGAAAGGGACCTGATAAGAATCTTAGTAAAAGCTCTTAACATGTTTGAAGAGGACTGTGGTCAATTGTTCTCCATGTCCCCTGATGGATTTAATGCAGATTTTAGGTTAAGCTCTAGAATAGGCTTCCAAAGGAGGTTACAAGATGCCTATCACTGGAGGTTATCTAACCTGTTTTTAAAACAAAACACCTGTCAGGGATGTTCTAAGGACCTCTTTTAGCATAACACAAGAATGGCTATAGTGGGGCAGACCAGTGGTCCATCTAGACCAGTATCCTGTCTTTTGATAGTGGCCAATGCCAGATGGTAAAAACAGAATGGGGCAATTTATCAAGTGATCTAGTCCCATCTTCTGGTGGTGAGAGGTTTAGGGATGCCCAGAGCACAGTTTTGCATACCTGACAATCTTGGGAAATAGCCACTGATAGACCTATCCTGCCTAATTTTTTATTGAGCCCAGTTCTATTTTTGGTCTTCATAACATCCTCTAACAACAAAATCCAAATGTTGACTTTATGTGATGTGATGAAGACTTCCTTATGTTAGTTTTAGAATCGCTGCCTACTAATTTCATTGGGTGGACCCTGGTTCTTGAGCTAACTGAAGGAGCAATTAACACTGTCATTCACTTTCTCCACAACATTCATGGTTTTCATAGACCTCTATCATGTCCATGCTCAATTGTCTCTTTTCTAAATGGAAAAGTTCCAGTCTTTTTCTCCTCATATGGAAGCTAATAATTTTGTTGCCCTTCTCTGTATTTTTGCCAATTTAATGGATTTTATTGAGATAGTGACCTGAATGGCAGGCAGTATTTAAAGTATGGTGTCATATCATGGATTTATAAGTTGCATTACGATATTTTCTGTCCTATCTATCCCTTTTCTAACGGTCGCAAACTTTGTGTTTGCTTTTTTGACTGCCACTGCACATTGAGCTGATATTTCTAGAGAACTCACCACAAGGACTCTAATATCCTTTTCTTAAGTGGTAATAGCTCCTTAGACCCCATCGTTTTGTACATATAGATGGTATTACATTTTCCAATGTGCCTTATTTTGCACTTATCAGTGAATTTCATCTGCTATTTTTGTTGCCCAGTCACCCAGTTTTGTGCAATCTCTTTGTAACTCTTCTCAATCAGTTTTGGACTTAACTACTTTAAGTTTGTACTGCCTGCAAATGTAGCCACATCACAATCTACCCTCTTTTCTAGATCATTTATATACATGTTGAAAAGAAGGGGGAACCATCCTATTTACTGTGAAAATTGATAATTTATTTCTAACCTTTGTTTCCTATCTTTTAACCAGTTAAAGTGAGTTAGTTGTGTTGATGTAATGTGATGTTACAGTAAAATGTCACCACATATCATGATCTGATATGACAACATGAGGATGTGTTGTCAAGCAGAATGTCTCTGCATCTCTCCAATGAGACAATAGCTTTACACCACATGCTCACTGGCTAGGAACCATTAGGGAAGGGAAGAAAACTGAACCACTCCGAATCAGAGAAATATCTTTGGATGGATTACCAGGAAATCTGATCAAATTCTGCCCCTTCAACATGGTTCTGGTCTTTAAAAATCTCATTTTATAAACTTTGACTTTCCTTGCACATGGATTTTGCCTTTTCACAACTATCCTCTGCACTAAACTGAGCTCAGTCAGTACTCATTGAGACAAGTCTCTTAAATAGAAACCCAAGTTCCATAATCATGAATAGCTGCAAGGATACTAATTGCAAATTAAACAAACATGATTTGCAGCCAAGACAGATTATTTCTAGAGAGGATTTCACTCTGAGTGGAGGACCATTTGTTGCTCTATCCATACAAGTGTCTTTAAAAAGCTCCATTGGAAGCAGGGACACAGTTCTTCATGGAGATGTTTTACAAATAAGATAACATGCATGCAAAAGAAACCCTCACCTTGTTTATCATAAGCAGAACTTTTGGGAGCTTTCCGTTGGGCTTCTGGGTCTTCCTCAGCCATATTCACCAGCCATATCATCGTTGCTATTAAAGAAAACACACTGGTAAACATGTCATAGGACAAACTGTGCTACAGGTTGATTTGAACCGCTAATATCCAGGACTCTCTGTTCCGGCAGGACCACGAATATTGTTGGACCAGAAAGCTCTGGCTGGCCAGATTCAGCAGCACAGCCCAGGCTGGGCTGGTGGAGGGCAATCCAACTCCAGCAGGGTGGCACGGTAGAGAGCAATGTCCTGGCCAGGACTGGCAGCAAGGAGCACAGCTCTAGCCAGGGCTGGAGGTAGCGGCACCAGCAGCCAGGAGCACAGCCCCAGCTGGGGCTGGTACAGTGGGGAGCGCAGCCCTAGACGGGGTTAGAGTTAGCTGGTTGCGAAGCCCAGGACAGGGCTGGGGGTGAGGTGGGTGGATACATCCTCTACTGAGGCTGGAGGCAGCAGGGCCTTCCCCCGTTTGGGGCTGGCGTGGCAGGGAGCACAGCCCCACACAGCAGCTGTGCCTACAGCTGAGTGTGGAGCCTTGACCTCCCCTTATCCGGCAAACTCTGTTGTTCAGAACCATTCAGGTCCTGAGGGTGCTGGACAAGGGAGGTCCGACCTGTAATATTTGTTATCAGCACTGGGCTATCATTTCTCTACTACTTTTTTGCTACAAATATCTTCTGTCACAGGCAGTTTTACTTCCTTTTAAAATAATTAAAGGCTTACTAATAGTTGGGACAAGTATCTGTTTCAGCTACAATATATTTTCTAGATCTGACTGGATACAGACAGGTCATAATGTCACAAAAATAATAGTCAAGTTGCAGCTGCCTTGGAGAAAATTTACTGTTAAGAGTACACATTGAAAAACTGAACTGATGATTCTCCTATACAGAAGCAATCACATTTTCATCGGAAGTACAGTATAATGGCCAATTATATGGATATTGAAGTGGCATAAGTTTGCACAGTAGTGCGGATAACTAAACCTATAGAAATTATTTTTCTTTTTAAAAGGCTGGTCAATTCTTCTAGTCTTTTACAATTAAATTTAAATTTTTATTTTTAGTTCAACTTTGCTATTTCCCAGCTCTAATTTCCACTCCTTGAACACAGATAAGGGCTGAGACAGCTCTGGATGGATATTACCAGTACAAGAGAGCTAGGCTAGTGACAGGTAAATCAATCCCTGCTCTCCTTAACTCCACCACCCTCTTCTCTCCTAAGCAGTTAATTTTAAACATTTCTATTGTGCCTGACATTTTAATAAAGTGTTTTCTGAATTAACATGACATTTTCTAGGTTTTCAGGACATCACAGTATCCCAAAACTAGTACAAAAGGAAAATGTCATTGATGGATAATCTAGCAGGTCAGGTTTCCAGATAACACTGTGTCAGATGAGTTGCACATCACCACATCTACCCCTCCCCTTTCTATATTTGGGACGGCAATATCCAGGTAATAAACTGCATTTATCATGCACTTCAAGCCAGCATTTAACACACTGATCTTTAATAATGGTCTTTTTTTTTTTTTAAATCTTGGATACAAACATGCAGTTCTCCTTTAACAACTACTGTCTTCCATTCAATTGTCCAAGTAGTTATAGCTTGCCTGCTGTAGAGCCTTTCAGATGGTCTCAAACCATTCTTTTCCCAAAAACAAAACAAAACACCTCACAACATCCCTTCAAGATAGGTGTCAGCCCCATTTTATATAAGACAACCGAGGAATAGAGAAATTAAATGACCTGCCCAGGACCAGAGAGAGTTAATGTCAGAACTAGGAAAAGACAACTCCTGACTCTCTGGAATTCCACAAGAGCACAGGGCCTCCCCTAATTGTTCAGAATCTTACATATTTCAACACAACAAGAAAGCTGACTGGGTAAATGATTTGACCAGATAATCTGAATGTATCCAGTATGACTGAACAGTGCTTAAAAAGTTCTATATGCTCCCATGAACCATAGATCAATAGGCAAGGTAAGCAGGAATCCCCACTGGTGTAATTCTCCAGTAGGAAGTCTAGCCTCAGCCCCAGCTGCTGGTGAGAGAGAGGAAGCTATTACTACGGTGGATCCCACTATGGTGCTGTGTTTTGTTGGTTTTTTTTTAAATCAGTTTCAGTTTAAAATATGGTTGCTGGGAGAAATAACTCTTCCCACACTTGCAGAGATTCTTAGCTGCTGCAGGTGGATGTCCCAGGCACTTCACCTTCATCTGCCATTTTAGTTTCTGTTCCTCCTCCTTTTTCAAATCAGAGATTTTCTGAGCAGCTGCAAACTAAAATTTGTTGATTCTTTGCAATTTCACAGCTGCTTCCAGGCTGGTGAAGAGCAGCAGTGAAAGGTGACCAGATTTGTGCTAGTTTTACATTTCTGTTGTTTAGTGGAGCTGGGTGAATAATGGATCCCTTTGGTTCTACTTGAGGCAAATCTAAAAATTTGGGAAAATGCTGGTGAATTTCAACCCAAAAAGTTTGTTTCCGGGCATTTTTAAATGCCAGATTCACAAAACTGCCAGAAGAGACTGTGGTCCCAACCATGTAACTTATAGCTCAGTGATTAGGACTCTCACACAATGTGTGTGGGTCTGGGATTCAATTCCCCCATTTGCTTACTATGGAGTGGGGACTTGATCTTGACTCTTTCCATGCTCCCAGGAGAGTGCCCAGATTAGAGGATATCCTGGGAAAGGCTTCTCTCCTGTTGAAGCTGTCCCACTTTATACAAAATATTTGAATACAGGCAGTCCCCGAGTTATGCGGATCCGACTTATGTCGGATCCATAGTTACGAACGGGGCCGTCTCCCTGGTCTCCAGCAGACCAGGGAGAGGAAGCAAAGCGGCGGAGCACGTGGGCAGCGGACAACCCAGATGCGTCTGGGCTGTCCGCTGCCCGCGTGTTCCGC